ATGACAAGCGAATTGGTAATCTCTGTCAGCATAACCAATGAAGACACCAATCTCATAGCTCGAAGGACTCTTTAGCTTTGTGACGTTGAATAAATTCATCAAACCAGACATGATATACGTTTTGAACATGATAATAAAATAACACAACACGAATCCTATGACAAGTAAACAAAACAAAATCACCGAAAAAGAAAGAAAAAAATTTCCCCAACACTGACGCCAATAGGCTTCTAAATTTGTGTAGGCTCCAGTGTTTGTTGAAACCCCGTCATTGTCAATACAGGTAAAGTTTCTCCACATATCCAAACTAACACTCGTCAGCTTTATCCATTGTAGAAACTGGATATTCTGACATCCACAAGACAAGACGTTCCCTTCTAAATACAAGCTGAATCCACCATTGTTTCTAGCCAGAGTGTCCATTTCGTCTCTCGATTCTTTTGGGAGAGTTATCAAAGCATTGAATCTCAAATCCAAAACTCGCAAACTCGGGGTGTTTTTTAAATTTAATGGCATTTTCGAGAAGCGATTCCATGCTAAATACAACTCCTCTAACTTTTTGTTGGTGTGAAAAATATTTGAACTTAATGCGCTGATGTGGTTGAATGACAGCTCCAGTTGTTTCAAATTGAAAAGCTTTTGGAACAATCTGCCATCCAGAGCAAACATGTTGCCATTTTGAAGCTGGTTCCTTGAAAGGTCCAGGGTTTCTATACTTGGCATTGTGTCGAAGAAATCTCCGCAGATGTCAATGATATTGTTGCCCGTTAAGATGAATGTTTTGACATTGTTTAAACCTCGAATTGGACATGTATACCTTCGTCCTCTGCTGTACGATAAATCGACATAGCAAAGGTTTTCTGCTCCTACAAATGTAAGATTTATGTCGAAAGACAGCGACACCAGTTTCGCGAAATCCATCAACTGAAGTGAACTGGAGGTATAAAAGAAGATCTCACTGACACGCGGTTGTAGCTTTGTATTTGAAATCAAACGATGTTCATTAACGTAACTATTGGACTGCTTGACCCAAGAATTTTTGTCTATATTGCAAGATTCTCGTCCTTTTTGTCTTATTACAGAATTACTTCCAGTGTAAAATGGAGTTGAATACTCCATTATGAGAGTTTCTAAATGTTTTAGATTCCATATCTGGAAGTATGCAAATTTCGTTCCAGCAATGAGGTTTTTAGACAGATCCAAACTTTTCAAGCATTTATTCCATGTTTCGCTGGCAAAAGCATTATGTTTTATAACATATACATTAGAATCCGTCAAAGCGAAATGCGCGACACAAATTTGAGTTAGGTACCTCAAAGACTCTTGTGTAAGTATAGCATCTCCGGTAAGTATGGTGTTATACCGGTCATTCATTACCACCCGTATTCGCATCATTGTAATAGAGTCCATCTTTTTCCCAACGAACGCCTTGAATGTCGGGAGAAGTTCTTTAAGCTCCAGGCGAAGCACCTTGAGTGTTAGTTGGTTAACATGCTTTAAGCTCTCGAAAGTAGAGTTCTCAACTCCATTTAAAAAAGATAAATTGTTTATTTCAAGAGTTCTAATTCGATTTACGTTTTTAAAGCTATTTTTCGTGATACGTTGGACATTTCCTTGTATTATTGTTAATTGATGAACATTTGTCGTACTTCCGAATTCTTCACCAAAGTACAATTCTTCCCCAAACGCACTGATGGTCAAAACTTGTAATTTTAAAAGTCGTGAGTAAGTTTCATTAGGGTAGGCAAAAGGTTCAAAATCCCCATCAATACAGATTGACAATTCGATCAGACTTTTAAGAGGGGCTAACGTTTCTTTAGAAAGGTTGGCCACGTTTAGCGGGTTGTCATCCAGGTTCAAGTACTCCAGTTGACCCAGGCCTAAGAACATGTTGTCTTGAATGTCTGAGATTTGGTTCCCAGATAAGCTGAGGCGACGCAGCCGATGGAGGGTTTCAAAAATCTTCGGCACAGCGGTCAACAGATTGTTGTCTAATAGGATCACTGTTGTATTTTCCGGAAACCAGGACATATCCACCCTCGTGAGAGAACGGCCTTGACAGTTGACAGTGACGTCTTCGTCGGTGTTTAAAACAAAACATGGCGACTGTTGTGGTGCACTCCCAGTTAACTGTGTCGCTTGCTGTGACGTGATCTTTTGGTCAGGTGACCTAATTGTTGATGTGTGTGCCAAAAGGAAACAGGCCAGAAGAATCAACAACAGACTTATATTTTCAATTGAAGGTGGCATACTTATTATTTGAATGATCTTATATTGTTAAAACATTATGGTTTATTGTCAGGGTATTTGCTGGATCTCTTGTGACAATTTTTTTTGTATGTTTTATTGATTATCCTTATATTATATTAAGATCAGGTTCGAATCTGAAACATAAACATATTTTAAAACGCTTTGCCAGACTACAGAAATAGCAAACTGATTTAATAAACATTTCTTTAAAAAAAAACTTAAAACCTATTTTATTTTTGTTGTTACAAGTCAGTGCTAATACCAGTTTGATCCTTTAAATAAACATCGATGTGATTAAAAATACACATTTATCGAACGTGATCAGACTGTTTCTTTTAATTCATATAGTTTGGGAGATTTTGTTAGTTCGAATTATTTCAGTTCCCCGTCTTTTTGTAAGAAAATTCTGCACGAAGAGTGTTTCTAAGTTTATTGTGATTTCTTAGTATCCCTAATTTGTTTTCCTAAAATTTGAAAAAGATATAGGCTATTTCTCTGCTCTTAATAATTATGCACTCAAGAAGTATGTGAATTACAAATTATATATAAACAAAAAAGGCCACTATATATTTTTTTATGGCACTGTTATTGTGTCGTATATTTCTTTTAATGATTTCTATTTCTATTACATTTTTTTCACACTTTCTTTTTTAAGGTAACTGTATAACAGAGTTTCTTCCAGGCATCTCTTCGAAGAAAGTCTACCGCCCCCCCCCTCCCCCCCCCCCGAACGAAATGGAATTCATATGGAAAACATATACTTTTAACATTGTCCCGTCCCCCCCCCGGAAAATGTTGACCGCCCCCCGACCCCCGAATATAACAAGTGCCCCCTACTGCTGTATAAACGTCAACTGTCATTTTGTTGTCTCATTTAGTTTAGCCAGATGGCATAGTTTGTTACAGCTTCTAGATTTCAAATAATTTACGATAATACGAAGTATACCCAGTTAATTTACCGACACACGTTTTTGGCCTCTAGTTTTATAAAACAAAACAAAAAACTAAAACTTACCGATTCATACAAACAAAAACTATTGCAAGCTAAGTTAGCTAAACAACAATTACAGCCAACTAATTTAAACCAAAAAAATGAAAATGTAACGCTAGGGTTTAGATAACCAAAAAGTATAACATATGTATTCTTACCAAACGTTCCAACCTTTAACTATTACTTTAGATGCAATATAGTAAAGTAATTCTATAAACACGTTGTCGCTCCGCATTATTACAACTGGAGTTTTGTTTTTATTTATAAACTAAATACAAGATGGAAATAGCGAGGTGGGGAATTTAAGGATGTCTGACGTCATGTCGTTCTAAGCCCTAGATCTGAGGGCAAGATAGCTTACAAATTGTCCTTAAAAGACGTGTGCCCTTGCAAGATATACATTTCAATCAATAAAGTCTTATTTTTAAGAAAAAAGTTTAGCACCTAGCATTGTCAAAATGGGCAGCAGTCAGCCCCCCCCCCCGAGTTTCTTACAGACCATAGTAAATTTAACTTTACAGCTTAATGACCAGGTAGTAACAGGCCCTAGCCTTTAGCTCTATAACTTGCCTATAACCCCAACAAAATAGAAAATTGGTTCGACTGTTTGCGACGTTCGAAAAATTACGTTTTTATAAGGTAAGAATTATGATTTGAGTGTGTGTTACTTGAAACGACAAAGCGAATAGTAACGATATATTTATTTGCCGAATTCAAAAGAAATAAAACCGACACTAGACGCCAAGTGTGAGCAACAGGGACATAGTAAGGGTTATCTCAAGAGTATAGAAAATAAAAGCGTGGATCGCGTCTTAAATTCTAGTAAAGTTATTTACTATAAAATATAGCAACTCACGCTTTTCGTTTAGTTATTTAAATAGTATTTCATTTTTAGTTGTAAAGAAATGCGTTTATTTACTCTTTTTAGAGCACTATTACTTAAATTATAAGCTTGTTATTAAAACGTTTCGTTTGAATTTATTTTAAATACTTGAATTTTTTTAATACAGCAGAATTGCATGACTAAAAACAATTATGCACTAATGAACAGTGTGCGTAAAATAGTGTGGTATATAGAATTTTATATAGGAAATTCATACAAAACGAAGTCTAATAATCTAATTAAGTTAAAAGTGATGCCACATCACATTGTCACCTGATCGTGATTCACGTGCCAAGTTTCAACGAAATCTGTCAGTTAGAAGTGGTTCAAATTTTGCTCACCAGTTTTGATCCATGACGAAGCACAACAAAAGTACAACAGAGGAAGCGATTTAAAAAAAAAGCTTGTAACAAATGAAGTAAAAACGTTTTAATAATTAAGAATTGCCTGGACCTAGGAAGCATAAATTCAGTGCAATACATATCAGATAAATAGGTCCCTAGATAGAAATTCAGCCTCAAAGTTAAAAAAAAAGAAGTTTTGAACTTTCTGCATTGCAAAATTTATAATATAGTTTCTGAAAATATATAAAAAATTCTCTTTTTTTCAGCTTTATTTATAATTGTTTTATAAAAGGGGAGTTGGATAAACAAACGATTTCGGTCCATGTCAGCAACAATGATCAGATGCTTCTGAGCCTAATGGTTTGACTCTGTACTGTTTATAAATGGAGCCTCCTCATTTGCTTTAGGCTGCGGTACTTTATACCAATCCTGATTAAAAGATTTAATTACAGAGAGTAGACCTTCGTAAAATCTGTAAAACAAATTAATAATCTGTTATTATTGTCGAATTACTGCAAACTCTACCAAATAAAACCAACATCAAACTATCGGACATACGAAGTAACAAACAAACTTACGAACACATGAAGGAAGGAACAATGACCTCGTATAGAACTAAATGTTATTACTAAAATTGTTTGCTTACCTGCTGGGCGACGTGTTGACTGGATGGGGTACCGGAGCGCTGGCTACAAAACATTTAATCATTAATGGACTGAAAGCTGATGCTGTGATGATAAGTAGCTGGTTTTCTGGAGTCATGAAGTATATTCTGTCACAAATGACTAGCAGGATAAATATGTAGGCTAGGCCTATGGCGATCACAATCACATCCCAGAGTGCCTGTGAAAATAATAATTGTGGAGCAAAGACCACATAACTTACAAATTTCAAATTATTGTGACATTAGGTTAGGGAAATTCTATTACTATTATATTTCTTTCAATCAGTTTCACATGTCAATAAATAATACATTAACTTATTGCGCAATTAAATTAATAAAAATTGATATAAAATATCTTGCCTTTAACTAGTTGTTTTGTTGCAATGTTGTTTATTTGCATGGAAAGTAATTCTTAATTTGGTGTAATAACACTATAGATACAGTGGGCTACTATAATAGATTACAAAACCGAATCAGTTGTGTAGGGGGTGCTTTCCTAGAGCCACACAAACGCCTTGACATTTATATATATATATATATATATATATATATATATATATATATATATATATATATATATATATATATATATATTATAATACTTATTTCTATAATATTATGTGGCACAAAATAAATTGGCTCACAGAATTGCTAATTTTGATATCGTTAACCAGACAGAACAGTAATATCGTACGTTTAATAAAAAAGAATGTCAGACTAGAGAAAAAGGATACCAATAAACATTGCCACAGTAGATAACCAGGCGAGCCACGATTGTCCATCATATCCCAACATCGAAAGATGAATATCTTGGAAATAGAGACAATTCCTTGATGGTCAACAAAGATCATGACATGTTTCTTGATGCTTTCCACTCTTTGCTGATTATCAGCTCCAGTTTCTGTTCAATTATTCAATTATATATATATATATATATATATATATATATATATATATATATATATATATATATATATATATATATATATATATATATATATATATATATTTATATATATATATTTATTTATTTATTTATTTATTTATATATATAAAATATACATGCACGCACACACACACAGATACCCAAGGCTAGCTTCAACTATCCTAACATAAGCAAAAATAACCTAAGCTAACATAAGTTTACATAAACTAACGTAAGCTAACATGATCTTAACCTGACAAAACACAACCCAACCCGACCTCACTCAAAACAACTCAAACAAAATAATGTTTTTTTTTTAATTCAAATCAAAGCGTTAGCACCGTAATAGAAACTCATGAAAAATAGTAATATTAATTATGAAAGAGATTTTTATTTTTAAGCTCCCATAATCCCATAAAAATAGATATTTGAATTAGATTCATAAATGGTCGCGACACTCAAGGAATAAGGTTAAAATATGTTGTCTGTGTGATTTTTCTTACCTGAATTTAGTATATATCCTACCATCGTGTTTTCGTCTTCAGCCTTTTGAAATTGAATTCCATTTTTATCGATTCGTTCATTTAAGACATCGATAATTTTTTGGTTAAAAACCCTATACTTATTCTTGATAATTTTACATTTGTCATTTAAGTAAAATATGCCTACAAGAGTTAAAGGAATATATTTGCTTGTCAAGTCAAAGTCCATTAGCAGCTTGACTATGAGAAGTGTTGCAAATCGTGCAGAATTATAAAAGCTTAGAACAATAATACTCTCTCTCAGTAGATAATAAACAATCACCAAAATAGATAGGCAGGTAGATTTGCATTTTTTTTGTTTCTTCCTTCCATTTTCTGAGCTCTCGTTAGTTATTTCATTGTTTGTTTTACAATTACACTTAATAATCTCTTTAAATCTTGCCCAATTGTTGCACTTGTTAATTACTTCATTGAGTTTCTTTGAGAAGTTCTTGCCTTCTGCATTCACTTTACCACAAAAACGCAATAATAATTTAAGCACAATTTCTAAGAAAACGGCGGGCAAGAAAAAGTAGAACATTTTTCGATTTTGTGTTTTAAAAAAATCAAGGTAAATAGGTAAGTAATAAACACTTCGCTTCAATATAAAGTGAAATAAAATGAGTAGGCATTTGCAAAAACATTTGCAATCAAATTTTGCTTCATCTTTCCTTAGACGTTTAAAAATCTGAAAAAAAAAAACAACAACACATGAATTATACATAAAATCCTACTAAGTGTAACGGTAATACATTATTTATAGAAACATTTGATAAAATATGGATAGAAGTAACGAGAAAATAAACTAAGATAGGCGGATACATGCAGGAAAATAAAGGTAAAATTAAAATAATTTTTTTAAATATGATTTTATTCTATTCAGAGGCGTCGCGAGCCGGGGGGGGGGGGGGGGTGGTGCGGACCGCACCGGATGACACTATTTAGGGGGTGACATCATGGCAAAAAATTGCAAACTAAACAGCTACGTCACTCAGGTCAAATTACTGACCGAATAAAGGAATGCATTCTGAATAAAATAACGTTCCCCATTTAAAGATATTCGAAAAAGTCGGCACTTGGGCAGTGGCAAGCATGGAATCGATGCCACGGGGCTGCCCATAGCACGGCTGTAGGGCTGGGCCTGGTGCCCAAACAGCTGTCCGTATACTTTCTACTGCACCTATTCTCACTGTTCTCTGATGAGTGTGTTTATCCTGTTTAAAGTTGTGTTTCTTTACAGTGTAATATTTTTTTTTTAAATTTTGAAATTGAAATAATAGAATTAGTAATATTTGCTCAAAGAGCTGGAGAGCCGTATTTTGACATCAAAGGAGCCGCATGCGGCTCGCGAGCCGCAGGTTGCTGACCCCTGATCTAAATAGATAACGGGTAGTCTAGTATGGAAGAAAAATACTTTTTGCCAGTTCAATTAATAATTAATAATAGTTAATCCACCTGCTTTAATAACTGACTATATATAACCATCTTTACTATTAGGTGTGCACACTTTAAAACTATCACGGGGGGGGGGGGGTGACACCAACTGGCTTGTTGAGTATTTTGAATAACAGATAAGTCAATCAACGACTGTAGTAGAGGAGGTGACACTAAAATCTAATGGCTTAGATGAAAACGACGCGTTTTTTTCCCCACACAAATTAATAGGTGGCTTGTACGCAAAAATTTACGCCATTAGGCAAAATGGGAAGGGGATCTAACCCATTGCACCTAGATATAGCCTATACGCCTAGTTAGACCTATATATATATATATATATATATATATATATATATATATATATATATATATAAATAAATAAATATATATATATATATATATATATATGTATATATATATATATATATATATATATATATATATATATATATATATATATATATATATATATATATATATATATATATATATATATATATATATATATATATTGTCTTTTTATAGGGGGGAGACACAATGTGGTCCCGCACCGGGTGACACCCTACCTCGCGACACCACTGATTCTATTTGCAATTGTAGGTGTAGGTTGTAGTAGTTGTAGAATACTTCAGTTGGTTTTTAATTTTTCGCAATGTTTTGAAGTTTTGTTATCAATTCAACTTACATGCATTTTGATGTACTGCTTTATTAGTTGAAAAATCGAGTCTTCGATGGGACCACCAGCGATCATAATTTTAGAGGTTTTAACGGTGAAGATATCGATGACTGTTCTTTGATTCTCTTGCACAACACTATTATTTTGGAATGGGATTTTTATTTAGTTGCTGCAGCTCATTATATTTTCAATTTTTTTTTATAAGGCAATAAAAAGTTTGCGTTTAAATTTTCACTAATTAATAATAATTGTATCATGTTTTACACAACTACTTACCTAATATCGTTTGGGGAAAAATTAAGCCCGAGAACGTTAGTACATTCTTTACTTCTGAAATATTCAAGTACATTAAGTAAACAAATTGCTGTTGCTTAGTCAAGGAAAATACGTATTACACCAAAATCTAATCCGATATCTTAACTCATCTCATAAATAACATTGACCAGCGCAAACTGCATGGAACTTTTAAAATCATAATATAAAAAAAATTACTGCAATTATTACCGCGAACCCTTTAAGCGCCAGAAAAGAAACCACAAATACAGTATTACAGATAAGGTAACAGAGAGCCCGATAAAAGGCGGCATATATTTGTTTTCGCCAATCTTCAAGCAAGTATAAATTGTCTTGTGGTTGTAGCCGCAGCAACTGTAGAACAAGTTAATGCCAAACATCAATACAAAACATTAATATCTATATTTTTTACACATACATATTCAAATACAATTACAAATTACAATCACACACACACCACACACACAGACACACACACACACACACACACACACACACATATATATATATATAATTGAATACATGCATAGTATAGCTGTGTTTTACTACGTACATGTTGAAGAGATACACATGTTTATTACCTTATCTCGTCCCATATTAATGTATCATCTTCATCCAACTTCGTTTGGCAAATCTGTACACTTGTTTTATTGTACGTTTGATCTTCAATGTTATCAGTTTTGTTGAAACCTATGAAGAAATTTAATATAATTAAACAAACACTTTAAGATATACCTGATGTATAGTTTTACAACCACTATTTTAATTAAGATCACATTAGCAATCAGAGTTGAAAGAGAACATGTTTTATTTTTCCTCTTTTTGAGCAGTATTATAATCTTATAAAGTTAATACGTTAAGTCTTAAAAGAATTTTGTATTGTATATTTTATAATTAATGTTATGCTATTTTCAGAATTTTGAGAACTTTAAATTTCTTTTTTTCTTTTTTTTATACATTCACATTCATATTTTGTTTTTATTTTTGAAATTTTGTGATGATGATAAGAAACTTTTTTTATGCTCCATAGTGAAAAGTTTTTGCTTAATATCCTTATACATTAGTAAGGGAGATTACTTTCAATTTTTACAAACAGTGTCTGTTCACCATTGTAAACAAGCTGTAATCACTTGAGATTTGTTATTAAATTTAGACATTTTTAAATAAAAAAAATATTAAATAACTAATTGTCAATCCAATTAGATTAAAAAATATATTTATGCATGGTCATCAAAGAAGTTGTTATCTGGAAAATTTGAACGAGACCGCTGCATTAAAATTGGGACAAATTTAAGTTACAAGATTTAACACAAACCCTAAAAAAATCGGATGTTGTGAACGAAATAAAATCTTATTAATAGATTGCTTGCTATGGTCATTTACAATAATTAATCTGACATGCACCATTTATTTGCTAGCATTACAACCGCCCAAACTGACACCCCGGCACACCTTCACAGATAGACGCACATAAACGCTTAGATTTGCAGAACACTTAATTTGTGTTGGAAGGGATCCCCCTCCAACACTAATAATTAAGAACGAAGACAGAACACTTTGCGAATTTGATTTTTTTCTTCACACTTTGTTATCTCGGTGGCTTCTTTAAAAGTATTAAAACGGAAGTATGCTATATACCCGTGTCTCCTAGATGCTGAAAATTACCTGTTAACAGATAATCTTTCACAAAACTCGACTCCACATCTTCCACACTGTTGCTGTAGCATTCTGGTGGGGTTACCGTTAGTTCCACATGTATGGTATCGTAAGATATGTCTAAGAAATAGCGAAAAGATTCGTCGCCATATTTGTAAGCAAAGTATAGTAGAGCGCTTCCTTGATTTTCAGCTCGAAACCATCTATAAAGAAAAAAATGTTTAGACGAATAGCAGTATGAATATGTTTTTTACAAGCTTTTATTTAACTCACTTCCTCTGTCGTCGGTCTGTCTTCAGTCTAGATCGAAACGCCCGAGCGAAATTACGGACACTTCTAACTGACAGATACGGTTCATAGTTGGAACGTGGGTCAAGACATGAAGACAATGCATCGTGACGTTAAATTTGACGTAATTTGTCATCTAATAAATTTTTATGAATTATTTAAAATTTGGACCGAATTACTAGTTATATAGTTTATTTATATAGTTATTTAAATAGTAGTGTATAATTTATTTTTCTCCTTTTTAGTGCATTATTACAAAAAGCTCGTTATTAAAACTTTTTTTATGAATTAAAAAAAAAATATTGGTTCGTGATTCTTCATTGACACAACTTATTATTACTTACTAAAAAGTATTAATAAGATTATTTTGTAACTTTTAGTTATATGGAAATGCAGCGTAAGTGCGTTGATTTTATTGTCATTTTTAAAACCATATATTGATACTATCTATATATATAATTCTCTTCTTGGAGACGTTAGAAAACAAGCTGTAAGCGCGCCTAGCAGTTCCCTCTCTTCCTCTCTAAGCATATCGTAACCTCCCCCACCCCAACATGGTCTGGTGAGCCGTGGTTCACGCTAAATGTTTACAATCGTACAGCCGGGTTTAGTGACGCCTATTAGGGGCAGATACTTTAGTTTGAAACTTAGGGGAGGTAACTAAGAGGAGGCTGCTTTCACGGGGGTGAGGGGGGTGTAGGGTAGGGGTTGGGGTTGGGGGAAAGGAGGGTGGGGGGTATCGTCCTAAACGGCCTACTGATAGTGTTTTAAAGCAAATATTTTCAGTCGCAGTGTAGTGTCGAATTCACACATTATAAATGACTGAAAAGTAGAAAAAAAACAACAACTAAATATCGGCGTATGATACGCTGCGGGTCGGCTCGTATTTATATAATTCTCTTTACGGACAGACCTTGCGGGAGACCACCACGACGTAAGCTCAACAGACCTTATCGCTACCACCCTCCACCAGTCTGGTGAGCTGTTTACAATGGAAGAGCGGGTCGAATTAGTGACGGCTATTAGGGACAGATAATTTAGTTTTTAAACGATTTGAAACTAATGGGAGGTAACAACAAGCTCTGCTTGATCTTTTCATTGTCGTCTGTAAACTATCGTCACGGACATCTACTTTCACGGGGCGGGGGGAGGGGGGTGGGAGTGGAAAGTCCTTCACGGGCTACTGATAGAGTTTTAAATCAAAATATTTTCAGTCGCTGCATTGGTAGTGTCAAATTCACAAAATATGAATTACTGAAAAATAGAAAATAAAACAACTAAATAGCGGCGTATGCTACGTCGCGGGTCAGCTCGTATTGATATATTTAACAAAACAAAACTCACCTTTTTCTACTTATGCGATGTAAAAAGTTGGCGTCCGAGACATTGACAAAGGTGAAATTAAAACCCAGAAAATGAGTTTCCAAGTCAGAATAAAAATATTTATCGATGCTATTTCTAAATTTAGTTAAATTAAGCGGGGTGAAAACACACGGCGTAGACTTGCCGAATCTTCCAGCGGATTCAACATGGGCTGTTGCTAATGAAAGAATTAAAAAAGTAAAAAACATGTTTCTGTTATTATTTATGAAACGAAAAAACTCCATCAAACGCGATCACATTCACTTATATAAGGTATATAAAAAAATATTTGCTACTGCAAGTACCCTCTTTAAAACAAGTGATAAGCGTTTCATAGAAATTTTTTTTTTTTTTCATGGGCGGATCGGCTTTAGAAACCATATTGGTGTCTTTTGAAGAAAATCATTTATCATACATGTTTTATTTATTGTTTTAACATAACACAATATTATCTTCTGCAACATTTTTTATAACCATGTTTTATGCTCGTTATTACTTTCTCGTATATTCGAAGTATAGAGAAAGTCATGTAATCGTGAAAAAAAAAAATCGAGAGTTTTCCAAATCTCGACCATTTACAGCTCCCTGAGTCGGAAGAACATAGTTTTAAAATCTTGATCGTATGTCTGTGTGTGTGTGTATGTGTGTGTGTGTATACACGATATCTTGAGTACCGTTATAGTAAGATTGATGAAATTTCATATATATTATATTAATATTGAAGATCCGTATAAACTTTTCAGCGATTTCCGATAACCGGAAGTGGAACTTTTTCTACTTTCAATTTTTCAAAGCCTATTACTTGAGTACTATTTTAGATTGATAAATGGAATTTCACATGTAAGTAAAAAAATCTATTTCTCTGCCTTTCAAATTTTGAGCAATTTCCGTTGACCTGAAGTAGTAATTTACGCTATTTCCGATTTATCAAAAAAACGCATGTGAATTTATAAAGTACTAATAATATTCCGCACTATTATACATATTTTTCTGGGTTCACTTGGTGTGCAATTCTTTTTTTTTACGAGATTTTATTCTATTTCAAAAAGTTTGTAATTAAAAACGGATTAAAGATCATGTCGATATCGTGATGTGCCAACTCCCGTAGTGTCCTATAAGAATATTCGAGAAAGTTTAGGGGAGATCACTCCCGGTTTATTTTTCATGAAATCACAAAGATGCAAAAAAAAAAAAACAAAAAAAAAAACACACTTAGTCAGATAAGACTGTGCAACTGGGTTTTCCGACTCCGGAAGTGTAAAATGTCGATATTCTTGAATGAGTACAATACTTTATTTATACCCTTATAAGAGAAAGTAAGAGGTAAATGGTTTTTAAGGAGTTTTAAAAAAAGATTTAATCAACAGAGTTGACATGGTTATATTGTATAGTGCTGCCTGTTAGCTTACAATCGGTCGCTTCTAAACACATATTCTGTATCTGGCTCTAGAGATGACACTGACAAAATCGTGTTAAGTAATAGCTGGTCATCTTATCAGTCTTGAAATGAGTCCACAGTCCCGATTCTTTCCACTTGAAAAATAATTGAAACCCTAATGTTATCGCATTATCTCTAAGCTGCTAGTTGAACATTTTCTCGAAAGGACAGGTGAACAGAAGTTTAGTTTTTAGAACATTCAGCGGCGTAGGTAAGAGACGGGGGATGGCGAAGGTTTTCATCCTGGGGACACGCAGGGGGTCATCCGTTTATGACATTCCACACGGGTAGTGGGAGGCGGAGAATACGTCATTTAAAAAAAAAATACCATAAACCCGTACAACTAACACAAACAATGTCAATTGTATGTGTATGCTAAATGCATCAATTTAAACGGCTGTTCACGGATTTAATTCTAACAACCAAAACAATAATAGCTTAGAATGCTGCGCCTTAAACGGGTAGAGATAGTTTTTCGCACCCCCAGAGTAATGCAATCAGGTGCAAATGGGTGATACCTCGTCTTACAAAGTTACACAGTAGAAGTTAAGATATCACTATAGGCATACATAATAACCATCTGTCGTATTGCAAGGTGCATATGAATCCCTGTACTATTAATCCCTGGTCTTGATTCTAAACGATGTTTGTAATGCCTCCCTAGCCGACCTTGTAATAGATACAGTTCAATATAATCCTCCCACAAAGTATTGCCAGGTATGTGATCAGCTGATCCTATTTGAATACTGTCGATCATGAAGCTCTGTATTGGTTCTGTAAAAATTTGTACTTGATATTTTGGAATATAGTATTATAAGAAGGTGGCTTTATACAACTTCATATTTATTCTTTGCTTTAATGTGATGAAGCAATTTAAGCCCGCTAATGGGGAAGTATAAGGCATACCCTGAGACAGGAGAGGACAACATCGCGAGGAAAGCACTAGACTGGAATCCCCAGGTGAAAAGAAAAGTGGACCGGCCAAGGAAATCCTGGAGTAGGACAGTAGAGTGCCGGGCTTACATGGGAGATAATAAAGAGAGCCGCTCAAAACCGAGTCAGATGGAGAGGTGTGGCTGCAGCCCTTTGCTCCTACAGGGCCACAAAGTAATAAGTGAAGTGTACTTAGATAAATATTACGAAAGAGCAAATAAAAATCATACATTGACTCAGACCAGTGTTAACTGTTTTTATACCCGAGTTCCAGTTTTGATAGTATTAGAAGCATCGGCATGCTGTTAAACATTCGCATTTATGGTTCAAGAAATATCTTTAAACTATTATATCAAACTAAGATTGTCTTAAATTACTTTTTAGCGGTTTCCATTACGTTTTTATTTGGCATTTAAAAAATATTCATTTTTTGTATACATTATTTAAATCTGCCCTGCAACAGTTTCAACTAACTCAGACAGTTCATCGATTTAAATGTCAGCTGTATAAGCTTTAAGTCTCCCTCTTGCATTGCTACTGTTTACACCAGCAAGAACTAAAGTATGTAATTCCTACTGTTTTGTTTAGCATGCAATTCATACTGTTTTATCTAGTTAGGTGAAAAATATATTTCCTTTTGTTTATCTAGTTAGTTGAAGTACGTATTTCTTAATTCACTAACTAAGCAAAGTATGTTTTTAATTCTGTTTTGAGACGTTCTGTGAAATGTGTACTATTAATTTTTCCATAAAAACTGCAATATATATATATATATATATATATATATATATATATATATATATATATATATATATATATATATATATATATATATATATATATATATATATATATATATAAACATATATATTTTTATTTGTTCTTGTTCTTTTTACAGTAAAAGCTTTTAAATGCTAGACCTAATTTTTTGCTACAAAATATAATTAACAGCACAACGTGTATAGCACTTGTTATTATAGAGCGGATGTTTTCCACGTAGGGAGGCGAAACCTAATGTTCTGAGAGACGCAAAGAATTTAATAAGAACTTACAGTTACAGCATATAAATATACAGGTGGAAGGTGGGAGGGGGGTGTTGTAAACAAACAACATACGACAGTTTCAAAAATGTATAGTATAGATATAACTATATGAAAAAAGTACAAGGATTAGTTTTTTCCATGAAATAAAACACGTTACGTGATAATAATATACCCGCATAACGTTACAAACCCCATAATTCCAGTAACAAAGGTGTGTAAGTCGATGAATTAACTGTACAGGAATAATACAGATTGAAGGATTAACCAATCCTTATCTAAGCCTTTTACTCAACTCTAACCTGCATTTGGTTTTATGCGATGTTGTGTAAATATGATATATCGTTATAATGTTTCGTATTGTTCCTATTGATTAACTATTAAGAGCCTGTACGATGTATCACAAAACACATTTTAAGCACTGTCTAGCTAAGGTGGTGTGTGATGTATGGGTTACGTGGCAATCCTGTCCGTTTGCTTGTGTGTGTTAGTGTGCATCTGTATGTCAACACGATATCTTAAGTTCCGTTTCAATTACTGAATTAGGTTCATGAACTATCCTATTTAATAGTTCTATCAAATTTCTAAAAATCAGCCGTTAAACGATATCCGATAACAGTAATTGATACTGACGTAATTTTCGGTTTCTCAAAAGCCTATAAATTTAGTACCGTTTGAGTTAGGTGGACGACATTTCAAATATGAGTTTCAGATTCTATGCCAATGTTTCATTCAACTGTTGAACGATTTCCGGTAACCGGAAAATGTATTTTAATTTTCTTCATTTGGTACACACTAACTTGCGTTGCCTACTGTTTCAGTAGATGAAATAGATGAAATTTCAAATATAAGTTTGAAAAAGTATGAGATATTTGGAAAACTCAAAATTTGAGTGCTCTTCAAATTCAGGAAGCGGTACCGTTTTCTATTTTCGGTTTCTAAAATACCGACAACATATCACAGGAAACGAAATGAAGTCTTTCGGGATAGCAGTTGCGCGTCAACCCCCCTCCCCCTTACAATCTCCTCCAACAACGCTTTCCCACCGACATTTATTAAACCAGAAAATCGTTGCAAATACAACTAGAAAGTAAAAATGCAGAAGCAACTTTCCATTTACATATTTTTATGTAATAATGCACTCAAATTTATGATGTCCTCTTTTTTAGTAAAAAGGAGAACATCATAAATGATTTTCTTTAAATATATAATGATACACTACTATTTAAATAACTATAAAGAAAAGCATGGGTCGTTATATTGTGTATTGGATGTAATAATGCACTAAAAAGGAGAAAATAAATGTCTTTCTTTAAATATATTATAATAATCTACTATTTAAATAACTATAAAGAAAAGCATGGGTCGTTATAATATGTATTGGATACTTTGATCTTTAGGAATCGACCTTTAATTTACGCGGACAGAAACGAGAGAACACCATCAAAATTTTCACAAAGAAAAAAAAAATGTTGCTACAAAAGTTGTGAATCAGTGGGAGGAGGAGTCATGGAAATGTTTACAAATAGCCCTCTACAACGCTCAGTCAGACCCAGATAGCTCATCGATTTTAACTTCAGGTATATAAGCTCAAGTCCCCCTCTTGCATTGTTACGATGACATAAGAGCAAGAACTAAAGTATGTATTTCCTTCTGTTTTGTCTAGTTATGTGAAGTATGTATTTTTCTTCTGTCATTATTTATTTATTTGTAGTTCTTGTTTTAGGTTAATTTTTTAATATTGTAAATCATAGAAGACATCGGACACATATTGCGAGTGATGTTCACACTTGTGTGG